GAAGAAGTTCCGTGTAGGACAATGATGTTTCTCTCTTCAGGAGATTGACGCCAGCCACTTGAAAGCTTTGCCAACAAAGAAATCACTTCCTGACGAGCCTCATTTCCCACTTTCGTAATAGATTTCCGAAAGTTGTTACTGAAGCAAAGCTTCAATGGAAAAAAGGTTGATGTGAGAAGTCCACTGAGCAGCATTCAGCTTCAGACATAAGAGTAAGAATTAAGAAATTTGTGCAGCAAGAAAAATCAGCATACATACCTTCCATCTTGCATTTCTGAAAAGTAGAAAATTGCCATTCAACAAATCATCAAGTTGGTCCAACTCTAACAAGGCATCCATTATTGCCTTGGACAAGCTTTTATCCTCATCAGCATTGTAGAAACATCCTCGTTCCTTCGCGTCGGTAACCAATTTCTTCCAAATAGAGCCACTGTTGACAAGAGTTGCTCCATTTCCCAGTATCCAGAGGCAGTACCTTAATAAGACATAGCATCGCAAAATTTTATTCAAAATCACCAATACACATGTACTTACACATGAACCTGCCTAAACTTGCTCGAACGATTGTCTAACTTATGGTGTTTGGAAAAAAATACCGTGCACGGGTCAGCGCAACATTTGCCCTTTGGCGATTGGAAAGAAAACCCACTGATCCACTTGCATTGCATCTGACTGTAGAGATAATGATAACATCCTCCTCGCTGCCTTGAAATCCATCCACAGACCGAACATTTACAGCAAAGTCACTAAATGCACTGTAAGTATTTCCAATTTTTTCTTGAATTGCATGCACTTGAGCATTGTATGGTGATATGACTCCTATGCTCATCCTCTTTCTTGCCCTTTCAAATTCTGCAAGAGAAAGTAAAGGAAAGCTTTAGCTTTCAAACTTGCATGCCAATCAAAAGTAAAACCAATAGCAATGTCATATATTTGATTTCCCTAACAGCAATATTTCTTAAATAACAAAAAATCTAATAGCTTCTGATATGACTCAAATGCATACCTTTAAAAAGGCTTGCAACTATTGCTGAAACTACAGCAACCTCCACCAAATTTTTCTTGCTGCGGCCGTCATTGGATTGCTCTTTCCCATTGGCTACATTAATAAATGAGTAAGGGCCATACATATTGCCTTGAAGGAATTGTTTCTGATAGTTTCTTTCTTTGACATTTGAAGCATCCTGAATTCGCATATCATAGAACTCTTTATTTGGGAAGAAGCTTATAGATGGGTGCATCCTATACTGCGTATTCAGAAGGTGTTTCTCGTGTTCCAGTATTACCAATCTCTCAAACAAACTCCTCCCGAATTCAGCTTCCTCAGAAATCTGATGAAGGTGTGTGACAGAAACATTAGGACTTATGAATAACCTAGTAAATGGGTCGCGAGAAAGATAAACTTTATCACCTTGCTTTGAACCATGGCAGGAAGTTGGCGCTCGTCACCTATAAGAATGGCATGGCGAAGACCAGAAAGTTGCAATGGAATAGTCGATTCACATTCTTTAAGCTGGGCAGCTTCATCAATAACCAACAATTTTATCGGTGTCACTCCTTCTGTGTGCAACTTGGCAGAGCTTGAAGCAGTACAGAAAACCAGACACGCATTTCCCAAGCAAAAGTTTCTTGCTGCTATACCTTCAACTTCAAAAATATTGGGAATGTCAAATACTCGAGGAAGTGAATTCAGTGTCTGAACACAATATTTTCTCATAAAGGTCAACCGTGAAAATTGACCAGCGCCGCTTCCTTCATTTTCAAAATCACTGAGGACTTGTTTTAGACCTTCATCTCCAACACTAACACTACACAGCAAGGGTTTGAAGCACTTGAGTGAACCAAGTGCTCTGATCATGTTCTTCACCACTTCTAATGAAATGATAAATGTTGGCAAGTGCGTATACAAATCTACAATTAAAACATCCAACTTCGCGCTAAGGAATTCGAAACTATCCTTTACGAATTCCTCGAAAGAGAGAATAACTTCCTTCTTTACCTTGCCATCTTTATTTTGTTTCTGTTTTTCCTTTGTCTTGTTATCTTTCAAGGCCTGAATAAGAGCTTTCTTCAAAACTTTCCTGCTGTTCCTGCCCTTTTTTTCTTGATCGTTGACCACTTCATGTAATCTTTCAAGGCCTGAAGAAGAACTCTGTTCCTGCCCTTTTTGTTTTGATCATTGACCACTTCTATCTCTTCAATTTCAAGCATTTCATCATCCTGATCCTCTTTCTCTCCCTCCTCATTTTTTTTCTCCATATTTTCCAAGTAACGGCGGTACTGATGCTCAGCATCTTCAAGCAACTTTATCAATGAGTCTACAGTGTGCTTCCACCCATTCGACGGGTTAAAGCAATATTGAAGTACTTTAACACGATGGTCAAGAAATATATCTTCAAGATCATCATTCTCGGAGATCTTCATTCGCTTTCCGTTCCCATAGAGAACTATATCTCCAAGCCCATAAGTTTCATATTCAAGAGAATCTGTAACTAGCCTTAGGAGTCTCGATGTTACTTCCACCACAGCAATATTGGTTGGAGCACATGTAAGGGTCCTGCACTTCAATTTAAGGAGAGAGAACAATAATAAACCAATCATCTTTGTTTTGCCAGTCCCCGGAGGGCCCCAAATTAGTTTGACAGTACTTTGATGTTGGCATTCACTCAGATCAATGCAGCTTACAATTGCATCTTGCTGTGAGCCATTTAAATTGGAAGAGTTGATTGTGGTTTCTTCCATACCAGAAAGTGTAGCACTTCTATTCACTTCAGATAAGCAGTGAGTGCAATCTTGGCCATCCTGCAGGAGCAGACACAACAACTGTCAGTTAGGCAATTGAATGATTAGACTATAGCTAAAACTTCCGCATATTAGGAAAAATGAACCACCCTTCTTACAGCTGAGCTAGTATGAAGCACATTCTGGATAACGTTCATGTTCCCTCCTTCCAGCTCTGAGTTCAATGATCTCCATGTACGAATATTTGTCATCATGTTCACTAGGTAAACAACAAAGAGATTAGCTTTCATGTTCTTTCGCCTTCCTTTTCCAGCAATGACAGACTCCTTTTTATTTTCCCGGTCTTCTAATTCAAATTGAATGGGTTTGGATGTGAGAATTGACAAAATGTCATATTTATCTTCATCATCTTTCGCTAGAGATAGTCCATGAACATATGCAAGAAGATAGTTAAACCCAGGCCTGTTCAAGTCATCAATGTCTTTCGGTCTTACATCTGTCAAAGCAAGGAGATCTCCAACGTCAGGCTCATATATTTCTTTCCCATTGGCTTTGTTTCTCATTTTTTCAAACCAGATGTTATAAAACAAGTCTTCCGGAGGCTTATTCTTTTTATCCATTCCCACTGAAAAGATTTCTCTTGTAGGTGCTTGGGAGATCATTATCATGTTTGAGCATAAGTCTGCACGAGTTTCCTCGATTAGTGCGGGAATGAATGACTTCATGTAATGTTTTATTGACATGAACGTCTCTGGTATCTTCATTACCTGTTGAAGAACAATAATTAGTGTCATAGACATCAAATGCAAGAAAAGGGAGAGGATAAAAAAAGAGCATATTCACAGGAACAAGAAATAATCGAGCATTCTTGCAATTGTACATAATTGTCAACTATTCTCAAGTCATTTCTCAAAATTATAAAAGATATAAGAAGTAATTACTGCTATAAATGAACATCAGAAACAATATGTTATGCCTTACTAACCAGCAGATGCTTAGCGTATTGATCCCAAGTTAGATAACCTTGTTGCAGCAAAATCATAAGGTCGAAAAAGGAGAAGTATCTGAATGATCTCGCTTTAATCAAGTTGCCAAATTTAATCAGGAAAAATAAAACTTATGCAGGCTTTCCTACCCACTAAACAACCAGAAAAACAGACCATATAAAAAATTAAAAATCTGAAGTGCATCATACACATAAACATGAGCACAATGGCATGCATGCTAACCTGGTTTCTGTAAAGATCTTTGTTAAGTACATCCCCGATAGACCAAGAGAACACCAAATCTACCAAGCTTCTACCAGCAACTAATTCTTCTTCAGTTTTCTCCACAGTTTTCTCCATCGTTTCACCTCTCTAGTAAGCGTCTGTAAAATCAGTTGACGAAGCCGATAGTAAGGAAACAAAATAAAACTCTTCAACTTACAAAGAAACAATGAAAAAATGGGGCAGGTTCCTGAAGACTGAGATGGAAAGAACACACTGACTACAAGTCAATCAAAAGTAAATTAAAGCGAGCAATGTATCGAGAGTCTTAGTCCCTACGGAAACTACAGTCTCTTGTTTTCTTGTTCATTGTTTTACCCTATAGATATATAGCAAGCATTGCTTCTTTTTCAAGAGTTTTAAAGCAAAACTAAACTCCAATTAAAGTTAGGGAAAGCATATGAAAAAAGAGAGGAATCAAAAGAGGAAGCTTTCATACGAGGAGGCCAAAGGACTTTTCGTGGTTATAAAGCAGATAGACTCCATATTCCTACGTATTCTCCTTTACTGTGACATTACCGATTCACAAATGTTGATTATTGAGATGCATTCGTACGAGGAGGCCAAAGGACTTTTCGTGGTTATAAAGCAGATAGACTCCATATTCCTACGTATTCTCCTTTACTGTGACATTACCGATTCACAAATGTTGATTATTGAGTAGAGGAAAGGACACAAATGCAATCGTGCAATACGATGATGCTTTACGTTTCTGCCCCTTACTCTTTCCTCGAGTTCAGGTCATCTTGTTGTCGCCGTCGTCGACCACTTTCATCCCTCTAACATGGATACGAATTAGATAAAGTTAGCAGAAACGTCATTCCTAAAACACCCTTGTTATTGACAGCCACTGTTGATCGTTGACGACGTGTCCTCCCTTTTAGACTCTCTACCTCCTTCGCCTTCTCTACTTTCTCTTGTCCATATTCTCCTTCTCCATAAATTTGTGCAAAAACAACTTATCTTTACCCTTTCAATAATATCTTCTCCTTTCCAGGAATTAGTGCTATATGTTTTCTTTTTACATTGAGGGTATCTGTTCTGCACATTGTTCTTCTTAGCCCAACAGTATGTGTCCCAACCTGGATTTCAGGGCATGACCGATAATGCAAGAGCAATACCACAAAGGTACTTTATATACGCTAGACCTTGGAACATATATTTTATAAGATATATATATATATAACTTCAAAATTTCTCATAGTTAAATAAAAATAAAACAAAACAAATTTCCCATAGTTAAATAAAAATAAAACAAAACAAAACTTCATAATATTTATTATATTAAATAGAATTCAATATTTGAAATAAAAATCCAAACTGGAATAAAAATAATGTAATAGTAAAGTGTTTTATAATCGAATAAAAAAGAATAAGAGAAAAAACCTCATGAAAACAAACATGGTATACCAACAAATAAAATGGTAAAAACTCTCAACTAAATATCAACTTACTAGCAAACACTAAAATGGAGAGATGAGTTAAATCAACTCAGTAATAGAATAATATTTAATATACATTATAAATATTTTCAAGTTATAAGTCATAAATTGTGATATAATAAAAGTACAAGAACTGAAACACGTACACACATATTAAGCATAATAGTAATGTTATAATGGTATACATGTTAGATATTAAACTAAATCATATACTCGGATAACAGATTAAACCATATGGTTTTGATAACAGACGAAGTTTGTGATTCTAATAACTATAGAGGATTAGTTACAATAGATTGATATCTCTTACCAGCTTGATTTAGACTGTTATAATCAATAACATATCTAGATATTCATCAATAGAATTTGAATATATATATAAAAGAATGTTATTTGTACTTATTATATAATCAACAAACATAAATTATTTATATTACATGTAAATTAAAAATTATTCTACTTATCTATAAATATAGAAGTGAAGGAATATTAAATGGAAGACCTAAAAATCTTACTAAATATTATTAGAAATATATATAATAAATATATAGGATATACTAAAAAAAACTTAAAATACTACAATGCATAAAATTAAAAAAAAAAAGTTAAGTCTCCTCAGTTTAGAAACTAAAACGATAATTTTTTAGAAATCAGGAATAAAAACATAATTTTAACAAATTTAAATGACCAAGATGTAAAAGTCATAAATATATAAAAGTCATAAAAGTTATAAATATATAACAATACTAAAATTTCACTTATAATTCATCTCCAGTTCTATCCAAAATCTCAATTTAATGTACATTGACCAAATTATAATTTTTTCAAATATCAAGGACTAAACTATAAATTTTTAAAATTAAGGGACCAAACTAAACCTTTATCATCTTCAAATTTAAACCCATATTTTTTCATAAATTTGCTACTGATCTACTATGTCCCATAACCCATCTTCAACAATCAAACCAATTTTACATCGAAATCATTGTTTCTAATCAAAACTTTCAAAATCAACTAGTTAAACACTTCCTCGTAACAATTCATCCATCACTTAAAGTCAAAAGCACAAACTTCAAATCTTTATAATCTTCAAATTCTAAAATCAAACTTAACTAAAACAATTAAGTATAAAAGTCTCGTACGAAGCAATATCAATACTCGACTAATAACTATCGTTACACTGAAACTTCACTAGTGACAAAAATTCATTTTTTCCAATCCCAAAATTAATCACGCAAGCTCACAACATATCTTCTAAAATTTATATAATCCTCTAGGACTGTGAATCGGTATAAGGATGAAAAGTAGTATTCACAGTAGATTTTTCAAACTCTTTTACACTGTAGTTTTTCAACTTATTCTCTTTAGCTTCTTCAAGCTCTATTTTTTCACTTGTTATCACATAATTCTTGGATAATGTTTATACAACTAAAAATGATAATGGTGTTAGAATCTTGAGAGGTTTATTTACATCATTTTATTTGTATCAAAAGATGAGTAATAAAATTTCAATGATAAATGATTGATCATTAACAACAATAAATTTTTAATTTAATAAAAGAAGGTGAAGGAAGAGTATTTGACATAGATTTTCAAACTCTTCTACATCTCAGTTCTCCAGCTTATTCTATTTAGTTTCAAGCTCTATTTGTCCTTATGCGTTCCTTCTACTATAGAGCTTAACAAAAGAAACTTTGAAGAACTTAACAAAACATGGAATCAGATTATGATTTTCCAGTTAAATGTTGCAAATTAACAAACTTGGTCTTTGTAAAGATCCTTATTGAGCACATATTGAACAAACCAAGAAAACACTGAATCTGGTAACCTTCTACCGTTGACCTTTTCCTTCTTCACATGATCAGTTTCCCTTGTCCATTGCTTTCCTGTTGCATATTCATTAGCTTCTCAGAAAACACCACAACATTATGATTGTAATAAGTTGCAAAATGATGCCCAAGTTCACATATACTGTAGCAAACCCAAAACAGTTAATTACTGTCTTAAACACTTTTGCTACTGAAAGAAAAGTATATGCCCAGCAAGATGGTGCTTTTCCTTGGAAATAAATATTCGCTTGTGGATTAGTAAAGGTACGTGTAAATTAATTTAAATATTTATATTAATTAAAAAAAAACTTGATACACTTAAATGTATTCCTTTCATAGACTTCATGTCAACTTTCGTTTCCATCTTTTATTATATTCAAGTCTTTCTACCTCGTATATGGTCTTCGTTAAGGATACATTGAGGATACAGAGAGAAAAATACCTTTGAGTAAATTTAATTGTTGTCCTGTAGATTCACATATATTTCATACCTATCCCTTGTGTTCAAAATTCCTAGCATGATTTCTATAGTTTTTTTTTTTTGTTACAAGCATGATTTCTATAGTTTAAATCTTTTCTAACTCAACCTTTCTACTCAAACAAGATTCTTTCGAGCACTATTCCTTCTCCCTTCTTTTAAGGTAGTTTTTGGTATATTTGAACAATATTAATTGAATTTGATTGGACTGGACTTGATAAATAAATGTCATGCTTGTAGATTATAATATATATTGATTTCTAAATTAAAATCTAAAAGAGGTATTTAAGGTCAAGGAAAAAATTTTATAAAAATGCTCTTAATATATTAATGTCAAACTTAAATATTTTTAAAAAATTAGATATTATTTTTTCCACTTTAGTTTATATTAAATTTTAAAATTATTAATATTATAATAACTATAATTATAAAATTAATCCAGTAGGTCAACCCAAAACTAGTAAACCAAGAGCCTAGATCAATTCGGGTTTAAAAAAATAAAAGAATGATTGATCATAGATGACCCAATCAAAAATTAAAGTCAACCTGCAACTTGATTAAACAACTTAGAATAGAACATGTGTCAAAAATTCTCCTTTTTTATTTGTAAAGCAAAAAGAGAAGAAGAGAGAAAAAAAAGTTGTCAAAAGCTGTAGTTCTGATGCCATATACAAAAGAGTTGCAGTTATGGTGCCATATATAGCAGTGTCTAAGAGTAATGAAAGTAGAATTTGAGTGAAGTAATCTCTTTTTTCATTTGTATTGTAATCCTTTTTATATCTATCTCTATAATATTGGTTTTTCCCGTGAATATAGGTAATTTGTCGAACCATGATAAATATTATGTTAGTGTGTTTAGCCTCCAATGATCAACTATCAAAACATCACTAGTCCAAACCCTAACAAAATTAATGCCCGAAACTAGAAAGGAAAAACATCTTCATTAATTTTTACAACCCTTTCGCAACATATTATATTTAGTCTGGATTGACATGATTAAACAGATAAATAGCTATGCAACAAGTAGGGAGGACTTCATTCTTCAGTAAGACAGCTGCAACTTCCATTCAAGAACTTGTAGAGCAACCTGAGGAGTCAAATTACCATCTTAATTTTTGTTTTCACACATTAGAACAAGAAAAAATATTATTCTAAAAAATATCAACAAGAATACGGAAGATGTTCTTACCACATTAATTATTATTTGGCCTTCGCCGCCAAGGTTTTGATCCCCTTGTTCCACTGCTAAATCCATCTTTCTTAGACCTCCAGGGCTGTCTGATACTCATGAACATCATACAAGAATTGGTGATTCGAAGAATACTACTGATAGAGTGGTAGGTCGAAGCTAAGACAACATAAAATTTGACCTTTCCATTGTGAAACAAATTGTTCAGAGTTCTAGTATTGCATACCTACTAGGTGTTGCTGGTGCTTCTGATGCATCCCTGATAACAAGTGAAGCTAATGGTTGTGACAGGAGTTGTGCAGGATCGGTTTCAGGATTACTACTCTCGAGAGCGGCACCGGAACTTATTGACCATCTCATTGGAACAACCAAATCCCTGCCAATTTATAAATGACAAAGTATCCATAAACATCCATTTCAATGCACAGAAGGAGGGAGGAGAGAGGTCACAGGTTTGAGACCTGCCCTTATTCCTCAAAACAGGAAAAATAACACGCATGTTTAACAATGGCTTCCTAATGCTGAAGCCAACTCAAGCTACTGCTTCTGTACAACTCCCACTCTATAATATCTGAAGAAGGAAAATAGAAAGATGCATACCCTTCTGTGCATTTGTGTCTGCAGCGGTTCATCTTATTCACTGTATAATTCCCAAAGACAGCATCGAGGCTCCTTGCTAGTTTCGGTAAATCACGTAATGGTAAAACATCCCAAACCTTAAGAATTTGATTGTCGTTTTTGTTTTCCTTGATTATATCCACTGTCCAAATGAGACTGAGCTGGTCATTGACTCTGTAATTTTCTAACAGTTCAGAAGAAGTTCCGTGTAGGACAATGATGTTTCTCTCTTCAGGAGATTGACGCCAGCCACTTGAAAGCTTTGCCAACAAAGAAATCACTTCCTGACGAGCCTCATTTCCCACTTTCGTAATAGATTTCCGAAAGTTGTTACTGAAGCAAAGCTTCAATGGAAAAGAGGTTGATGTGAGAAGTCCACTGAGCAGCATTCAGCTTCAGACATAAGAGTAAGAATTAAGAAATTTGTGCAGCAAGAAAAATCAGCATACATACCTTCCATCTTGCATTTCTGAAAAGTCGAAAATTGCCATTCAACAAATCATCAAGTTGGTCCAACTCTAACAAGGCATCCATTATTGCCTTGGACAAGCTTTTATCCTCATCAGCATTGTAGAAACATCCTCGTTCCTTCGCGTCGGTAACCAATTTCTTCCAAATAGAGCCACTGTTGACAAGAGTTGCTCCATTTCCCAGTATCCAGAGGCAGTACCTTAATAAGACATAGCATCGCAAAATTTTATTCAAAATCACCAATACACATGTACTTACACATGAACCTGCCTAAACTTGCTCGAACGATTGTCTAACTTATGGTGTTTGGAAAAAAATACCGTGCACGGGTCAGCGCAACATTTGCCCTTTGGCGATTGGAAAGAAAACCCACTGATCCACTTGCATTGCATCTGACTGTAGAGATAATGATAACATCCTCCTCGCTGCCTTGAAATCCATCCACAGACCGAACATTTACAGCAAAGTCACTAAATGCACTGTAAGTATTTCCAATTTTTTCTTGAATTGCATGCACTTGAGCATTGTATGGTGATATGACTCCTATGCTCATCCTCTTTCTTGCCCTTTCAAATTCTGCAAAAGAAAGAAAAGGAAAGCTTTAGCTTTCAAACTTGCAAATCAAAAGTAAAACCAATAGCAATATCATATATTTCAGACAACATTTATTAAATAACAAAAAATCTAATAGCTTCTGATATGACTCAAATGCATACCTTTAAAAAGGCTTGCAACTATTGCTGAAACTACAGCAACCTCCACCAAATTTTTCTTGCTGCGGCCGTCATTGGATTGCTCTTTCCCATTGGCTACATTAATAAATGAGTAAGGGCCATACATATTGCCTTGAAGGAATTGTTTCTGATAGTTTCTTTCTTTGACATTTGGAGCATCCTGAATTAGCATATCATAGAACTCTTTATTTGGGAATAAGCTTATAGATGGGTGCATCCTATACTGCGTATTAAGAAGGTGTTTCTCGTGTTCCAGTATTACCAATCTCTCAAACAAACTCCTCCCGAATTCAGCTTCCTCAGAAATCTGATGAAGGTGTGTGACAGAAACATTAGGACTTATGAATAACCTAGTAAATGGGTCGCGAGAAAGATAAACTTTATCACCTTGCTTTGAACCATGGCAGGAAGTTGGCGCTCGTCACCTATAAGAATGGCATGGCGAAGACCAGAAAGTTGCAATGGAATAGTCGATTCACATTCTTTAAGCTGGGCAGCTTCATCAATAACCAACAATTTTATCGGTTTTGCTCCTTCTGTGTGCAACTTGGCAGAGCTTGAAGCAGTACAGAAAACCAGACACGCATTTCCCAAGCAAAAGTTTCTTGCTGCTATACCTTCAACTTCAAAAATATTGGGAATGTCAAATACTCGAGGAAGTGAATTCAGTGTCTGAACACAATATTTTCTCATAAAGGTCAACCGTGAAAATTGACCAGCGCCGCTTCCTTCATTTTCAAAATCACTGAGGACTTGTTTTAGACCTTCATCTCCAACACTAACACTACACAGCAAGGGTTTGAAGCACTTGAGTGAACCAAGTGCTCTGATCATGTTCTTCACCACTTCTAATGAAATGATAAATGTTGGCAAGTGCGTATACAAATCTACAATTAAAACATCCAACTTCGCGCTAAGGAATTCGAAACTATCCTTTACGAATTCCTCGAAAGAGAGAATAACTTCCTTCTTTACCTTGCCATCTTTATTTTGTTTCTGTTTTTCCTTTGTCTTGTTATCTTTCAAGGCCTGAATAAGAGCTTTCTTCAAAACTTTCCTGCTGTTCCTGCCCTTTTTTTCTTGATCGTTGACCACTTCATCTTTCCCTTTGTTGGTGTTTATCTCCTCAAATCCATGCATTCCATCCTTACTTTCCAAGTATCGGCGGTACTGACGCTCAGGATCTTCAAGCAAAGTTATCAATGAGCCTAGAGTGTGCTTCCAGCCAGTTGACGGGTTAAAGCAATGATAAAGTGCTTCGACACGATTGTCAAGAAATATATCTTCTAGATCATGATTCTCAGAGATCTTCATTCGCTTTCCGTTCCCATAGAGAACTATATCTCCAAGTCCGTAAGTGTCATATTCAACAGAGCCTGTATCTTGCCTAACTTGCCTTAGGAGTCTCGATGTTACTTCCAACACAGCAATATTGGTTGGAGCACATGTAAGGGTCCTGCACTTCAACTTAAGTAGAGAAAACAATAATAAACCAACCATCTTTGTTTTGCCCGTCCCCGGAGGGCCCCAAATTAATTTGACAGTACTTTGATGATGGCATTCACTCAGACCAATGCAGCTTACAATTGCATCTTGCTGTGAGCCATTTAAATTGGAAGAGTTGATTGTGGTTTCTTCCATACCAGAAAGTGTAGCACTTCTATTCACTTCAGATAAGCAGTGAGTGCAATCTTGGCCATCCTGCAGGAGCAGACACAACAACTGTCAGTTAGGCAATTGAATGATTAGAATATTGCTAAAAATTCCGCATATCAGGAAAAATGAACCACCCTTCTTACAGCTGAGCTAGTATGAAGCACATTCTGGATAACGTTCATGTTCCCTCCTTCCAGCTCTGAGTTCAATGATCTCCATGTACGAATATTTGTCATCATGTTCACTAGGTAAACAACAAAGAGATTAGCTTTCATGTTCTTTCGCCTTCCTTTTCCAGCAATGACAGACTCCTTTTTATTTTCCCTTTCTTCTAATTCAAATTGAATGGGTTTGGATGTGAGAATTGACAAAATGTCATATTTATCGTTATCATCTTTCGCTATAGATAGTCCATGAACATATGCAAGAAGATAGTTAAACCCAGGCCTGTTCAGATCATCAATGTCTTTCGGTCTTACATCTGTCAAAGCAAGGAGATCTCCAACCCCAGGCTCATATATTCCTTCCCCATTCACATTGTTTCTCATTTTTTCAAACCAGATCTTATAAAACAAGTCTTTCGGAGGCTTATTCTCTTTAGCTATTCCCAGTGAAAAGATTTCTCTTTTAGGTGCTTGGGAGACCATTGTCATGTTTGAGCATAAGTCAGCACGAGTTTCCTCGATTAGCGCAGGAATGAATGACTTCATGTAATGTGTCGTTGACATGAATGTCTCCGGTATCTTCTTCACCTGTTCGTGAACAATTTAGTGCCATACATCAAATGCAAGAAAAAGGAAAAAAAAAAAAACATGAGGTCAAAAAAATTAAAAATAAAATTGACATGAATGTCTCTAAATGATTTCACTTTAATCAAGTTGCCAAATTTAATCAGGAAAAATAAAACCCTGCCCACTAAACAACCAGATTTTGACCAGAAAAACAGACCATATAAAAAATTAAAAATCTGAAGCGCCATCATACACATAAACATGACCACAATGGCATGCATGCAAACCTGGTTTTTGTAAAGATCTTTGTTGAGTACATGCTCGATAGACCAAGAGAACACCAAATCTACAAAGCTTCTACCAGGAATTACTAATCCTTCTTCAGTTTTCGTTTTCGCTACTTTCTTCTCCATCATTTCACCTCTCTAGTAAGCGTCTGTAAAATCAGTTGACGAAGCCGATAATAAGGAAACAAAATAAAAACTCTTGAACTTGCAAAGAATTAAACAATGAAACTACAGGTTTCTTATGAGTGAAGCAAGCAACCCTACAGTAAGGCTAGTACAGATATTTTTTCCAAAAAGTGGCAATGCTTCTTTTTTGATAGCTACCAAAAATCCCAGTTAAAGAAAAGAAATGATCGTACAGTTGATTGTAAAAAATGGGGCAGGTTCCTGAAGACTGAGATGGAAAGAACACACTGACTACAAGTCAGTCAAAAGTAAATTAAAGGAAGCAATGTATCGAGTCTTAGTCCCTATGGAAACTACAGTCTCTTATTTTCCATAATTAAAGTTAGGGATAGCATGTGAAAAGAGAGAGGAATCAAGAGAAGGAGCTTTCATACGAGGAGGCCAAAGGACTTTCCCTGGTTAGAAAACAGAGAGACTCCATATTCCTACGTATTCTCCTTTACTGTAACATTACCGATGCACGAATTAATGTTGATTTTTGAGTAGAGGAAAGGACACAAATGCATTCGTACAATACGATGATGTTTTACATGTCTGCCTCTTTCCCTTTCCTAGTACACGTGATTTTCACAAGAGAATTATTCTATCCACTCGAAGTATTGCTTAGAATTAAAGCAAGTTTCATTTACTTCAAGGTGTAAGAAAACGCAAACCTCAACTCGTAATTTCAAGGGTGAATTCTACTTGAATGGGAATGGGTAGCAAGATGTCCAAACTATTTTCCAGTTTTCACATATGATGACTACTTCGCTTCATAACCAATATCACCACCATCAAGTTTCACTGTATAGAGCATCAGCATCATATAACACGGTTATTACATTATTCATGTGAAACAATTTCTTTAAAACTATATTATGACATCGTTTTTACGGTTTTTTTATTGGAAAAAAAAAGACCTTGGATTAACCCGTTGATCAACTCGCGATCCAAACCACCTCAGACCATGTCGAACTCTTGAGTAGACTTGTAACTATGTTTAAAACCATGATTTACACCCAGCAATCCAACATTGAATCACCAGCCAACTCGAACTCCTACAACTGACTATCTTTTGACAAAACTGCCAGCCGCAACGTCACTATCGACTGTTTTGCCACTCGAATTGGAGTATTTATGTGATATCAAAACAGAATTGGAGACGGACACAAAAATCAACATACCCATGAAATCTTACAAGTCTGAACGCACGAGGCATGAGCCTAGCATGGGAAAACCCTCTGCTTGCTGAAAAGGATTCTAAACATTTTCCCTTTCAGGATTCAATATTGGATTCTCTATCACAGAAAATTCATGGGAAAACCCTCTGCTTGCTGAAAAGGATTCTAAACATTTTCCCTTTCAGGATTCAATATTGGATTCTCTATCACAGAAAATTCATGGGAAAACCCTCTGCTTGCTGAAAAGGATTCTAAACATTTTCCCTTTCAGGATTCAATATTGGATTCTCTATGACAGAAAATTGTGCTTTGTTTTTTTCATCTGGTTTGGAAGTAGAGGGAACAGGGACAGAAGGAACAGCCACTTGTTATACCACCAAACATGTGAGAGGAACACTCTTCTTTAAATTGTGTCCAAGTAAGAGAAGTGATGAACAGATCGATTTGTGGTCTCCCAGTCAAATCTCTTCCTCGTTTCACCTTTCAAAGTACAAAGAGCATAGATGTTACATTGTCATACAACACGGAAACCTTCACGAGTCATCAATTACAATACATCCAACATCATCTGAAACTTCATTATGCACTTGCATGGAAACGATATGATGGTTCAATCAAAAGATCGCACAAACTGCAATCTTGTTGCCCAATCCCAAACATTTTACCACCCTACTTTCATCTGTGTAAATCCCCAAAAAGCCGCCAAGACATGTACATAGTGTGAATCGTGGGGAGAAGAAATTAGCCATTTGGCAAGTAATATGACTAGCTACTCTGGACACTATACAAATACTGCAAGTATTTACGTCATGCATAGACATTTTTTCAGCATGCCATGCTCAAAGTTGACAGAACACCTGCTTTCGACCTGCATCCAAAGAGTATCACAGATGGGTAATGTTAGATCTGTCATCATGAAAATATAAACCACTTAACATTGTTTTGTATTTTGTTGTTTTACTTCACAGCCTTCGAGAAATATATTATACCAGCTCCACTCATTGCCTAGGCTTGAAGCAAGGATTTCATCTCCCAAGGCAGAGAGCAAAGTGGATAAGCTACTAACTCGAGGGTAATTAACATTTACTAGAGAGAAACAAGAAACACAAATCAATAGTTGAGAAGCAAAGTTTCACGACTATAATTTAGTTAGAAAATTAAAAGGATAATGAGAAGAGGAAGAAGAGAAGTTTGTTCACTTTAGAAGAGGGGCTTATGCTTTAACCTTTTGCCACGCTTATATTACAAATTAGTTTGTAGCTTCAAAACATACAAAGTAATACAATGCTCATCATCCATAAAATAGAATGGTTACGATCTTCCTAATAACTTGACAAAACAACTGATAAGGGCACTCATGCAGCCCTATTGCAGCCCAACAGGTTGTTCTGTAAGGTGTTCTGTAAGAACAAGGGTTTCCGACCATAACAGGTCATTGGCATACAGGAATTGTCCAGATCTGATAATTTTGTGAAACAGCCTGTTTTCATATCATTGAAACATTTCATGCAGATACATATCATGAATTGTGCCACACAATAACACATACTTATCAATGCATGAAGAATTCCAAGGACAAAACTGACGCCCCAAAACTTACAACTATATACTAACCTATGACAATTAGCTGATGGCCCATGTTAATCCAGTAAACTGAGTGAAGCAAATTGGATAGACAAAAACTCCACAGTATCATCTTTAGGGTGTTCATTAGAATGAACAGGCCAGGTCATCGGAACCTGCAAGTTCCTGCATCAAGTTGATTGTGAAATTTTCAGGAGAAACTTATATCATTTCAAGTGCTATAAACTAGAGGTCTTTATATTCTTCTTCCAGCTTGAACTTTTTCCAATAGCATTAGCTCCTTTCCACTAGAAACTCCCACATACAACAGCAAGATTGCAGTGTGTGGTGATAGCAACAGATCAAAAGGCCATCAAGTGATAGGTATATGCCATGAACTGCAGTCATGGTGGAGGCATTATAACAGATGGGGCCAAGACGCCCCTATCTACAATAGTCATGTGGCATCAAACGTTGACAGTGACTGTTTGTCACTGTGAGATTGATGATGTGGGTGGTTGAAGAAATGGCAGTAACAGTAGACGTTGTGGTTTCACTGTACTGATTAAAGTAGAAATGGCAACATGGCATGGCACAATGGATGGCAAATGATCCAGGAACCAATGTTAGTCTTTACAGTTATGATCCAGGATCCGATGCTTGTCAAGGTATTTGAGTTTTTTCTGTTCTATTTTGTATTTATTTGACTCCAAGCTCCACTGCTCTTGGAAACAAAGATTGAGATAGCATAACATCAAGGTTGCTTTCCACAGGACACGTATTCTGTAATTCTTTGAACCAAAATCCACCAATAGAATAATTCTTAAGGTTAATGCTACCCTGATACTTCCAAGTCTTAATCACTTGTGCAGTAACTTTTTACGATTTTTGTTCATCATCTCGTATGAAAAGGAAATATAAAAATTAGAAAAAGAAGCCAAAAGGGATGAAATTAGAGGATTGCATACCCTTCAAATTGCCTTAGTTTGCATCGATTAATTTGAACCCCTGTATATTTTCCATAGAAGATGTCAACAAGCTTTGCTAAATTTGGTATCTCAGACAAATGTAATAGATCCCAAACCTTCAGAACCTGGAAAATGCATGCATTTTCCTCTACAATGTCTAAAGTCCAGACAAGATAGAGCGATCCGTTAATCTTATATAGCTCCAACAGTTGAGAAGAAACCCCATTGGTGAAATTAGGATCTCTCCCTTTATGAGGCTGACGCCAACCGCTTAAAAGCTTCCTTAACATTGAAATAACTTCCTTGCAAATCTCCATGGTTTTAGTTCTCGCGACAAATTTGGAGAAACCGTCATGAAAGGAAACCTGGGCATGATTGTAAGCATCACTCTCAATTTTCAAAAGCATAGATGAAAGAAGTGTGGAATAGGGGGATCTAATTTTCTGAATTTTTTGACATCAGCCATTGATTCCTATGTGGATGCAAATTGATCTGGTGCAACCTAATGATTGAACCAACCCCATTATCCAATCACTAAATCAAGCATGCAAGTTTACTTCCCAGCAGCTGGTGATAAACACACCCAACCAGTTCTCTTCTAATGATTGTGCACTAATGTGTTTTCATGACCAAAATCTAAGGATGCTTCAAACCGAATATCTTTCGTATAACTCAATCATCTAATTCTTAGGTTTTGTGTTTTTTATATATATATGATATATAAAATGAAGTAAAATCCTTTCATCTAATTAAATGCATTAAAGAAAACCACTATAATCAGCTCAATTTAACTCTTAAATTTATGATGCTGCAGACAAAGATAAAAAAAAAAAGGGGGGGGGGGGGGTTTATCCCAGAAAGGAT